AATGCATATCTTTTCTTTCCTAAGAAAAAGGAAAGTGGCACTTTTCTTAAAAGGTGCAAAGAAAAGTCTTTTTCTTGAAAAAAGAAAAGATATGCATTATATCTTTACTCTTTTTTGTTGTAAAGAAAATGGAAACTTTTCTTTTGTTAATAGAAAAAAGAGATAGGAAAGAGAAAGCGCCACCCCTACTAGAACGACTGCTTATATCGTTTAGCCATCTAAAAACGGTATAAGATAGAATGAACGATGTAGATAGATTAATGGTAAGTTTTTCATATCAGTTCCGTTACCGAAATACAAACAAAAGTAAATACTGAAAAGAGAAATGATAGTAATAAACACATTTTTGACGAAAAACGACCATCGAATAAGGAAAAACCAACTCCTTTGCAGGCCTTTCACTTTTAATAAGTAAAGCACTGCTACGTTATATTAATAATGTAATATAGAGGGATGGTGCGAGACTTTTATCTGTGCTGAGATAAATGATGTTATGCAAAGTCTCGAGAATTAGCGGAAGGACACAGTCAGTGTTGCACAACAACCGTGAAAGTTAACTGTGTTGTTATTATGCCATTAGACATGGAATAAGGCAGAATATGGAATAATAGATCATGGGCTGAGTAATCACATAAGTAACATATTAATGCAGAAGAAAAAGAAATGCTATTCAAAGAAAAGAAAACAAAAGTAAATGCCGAACAGAGAAAGAGAATGATAGTAACAAACACTTTTTTCTAAGATATAACTGATAAATTTTACGGTTGTTGTGCAATACGCACTGTGCCCTTCCGCTAATTCTCGAGACTTTGCATAACCAGACAGAGACAGCAGTTGCTTGTTTGTTTCTTTAATGTACCGTACCTCTCTTATCAAAGCGGAAATCACTGAGGCAGGGTTAAGAGCAATTGATTGTCGATAAATAAGCGTCACATGCTGTGACATAATAATGACCTCATTTCCTTGATTGTAAGTCTAAAGTAATATGAAACAAAATGGTCTGTGTGTGCGTATGTCTGTCCTTGTCAACTTGTGATGGACGTACTTACACGAAGAGCAGTGACGCAGATATATTAAGGATTATACTTATACTGTGTATTATACTCACCTATAATTTGTATATTAGTCGAGAAAGCGCTCGGAAATCTGTCTGATTATACAGAAATCAAATCACTTTTTTCACGTTGTTCTCCAACATTCAAAAAACTCAAAATTTCGATCACAGTTTCTGACACGACGGCATATATCGCTATCTACAATTGACTGATCTTTTCTTTCTGAGCGATTCATTAGTGCCCATTCGCAGCCCAAAGTCTGAAGTACACTTTTTCCTATCAAACATTTTATACTCTTTTTATTATAAGATAAACAAAATCATCTCCATCCGCCTAAGGGTCGATGACTCACTTTTTTTATAGCATGGTATGAAAAATATATCAAAATCCACAGAACTATGTACAGATTGATGTATCTTGATTTCTGTAAGAGAGTGGGTTTAAATCAGGCTGCTATTTTCAACAAATACTATTGCCGGATAGAATAAAATATAAAATTAGTAAATTAAAATTAATGTCTGAGATGTTCTGCATTTAATCTACCAGAGTCCATCTGAAACTGAGATGTCCACAGGATATTTTTTCCGTCCTGTACGGTCCTGCAGGACGGTGTGGTAATGCTCTGTCCTGCCCGCACAATGGCTCATAAAAAACTTTTCCTCCTGTCCTGTCCCGCAGGAAAACTTCTAAGTTTCACCTGTTCTAAGGGGTTCGAATCTCGTCTGTACATTTAATTCGGAACTCAGAATGGCTGCATGTTTCCTCATCACTATATATGTCGTCTGTTAGGCTTTTGCGATCCGTAATTCATCGATTTAGGGCGTAAAGGTAAGAAAGAATCATGATGAAGTTTCCCTTTTGTGTAATAATATCTAGAATAGATACACATATTTATATCAAATATATGCGATACACAATCCGATGCATACCAGTTTTTGCATCTTCTCAATAACATCAACAGCAGTTCAGTGGGGCATCGGTCCTAAGGGAGCAGTAGTCGCTGAGAAGACATCCACGTCAGTATGATATATGTAGAAATCAAATGGTCACTCCAGTGACCCGTGGGGGGTAAAGGGTTAAAGTAAGACGAGAAAAAAAAAGAAAGATCCATATCATAAGATGGTTCTTTTTCCAGAGTATAGCATTCATCTTTAACCTATCTTATTTGTGGGCTTTGCTCCTGTTTTTGAAAAGCGATAACTGATTTATGTATGTAAATGTTCATCTTTTCTGTATCAATGTAAGAAAGCAGTCTCGCCTGAGAGGCAGGCTAGTCTTCTTCGGAAGACAGAGAAATTTTACAAAAATTTGATATACAACTGCTGTCTAATAACTAAATTTGCTTGTTTGAATTAATGAAGAACCAGCTTCTCCTTTTCATGAGCAACTTACTAAATGGTTTCAATTTTTTTTATTTTACGTCAAGTGCAACAGCAACGACGACCATCACCACCACTTCAGCAAGTCAGCAGTTCTCGATTCTTTTAATTGATCATAGTTGTTTATCGCGTATCGCATTATCAGGATGGGTGTGGAATGAAGTTTTTCTCATACTTTAGGTATCACCTCTGCAGTAACAACCTCACCTGCCACATGTAAATGTCTTCTGCCATTGGTAACAAAATGCGATAAATATGTCTTTTATAAATGCGAGTGAAAGTTTTTGTGTAAAAGCAATTGTTGTACTGTATTGACGAGAAACAAAATTACCGAAGCTGTTGCAATATCTTTTGATTAAATAACCGCCGCTATCCTTATTATTATTTTGATGTATCTATATTTGTTCTCGATCCTGTTATCACTTCTCCATTTATTGGCTGCAAACGGCTATCTTCGTATACTTCAACACGCTGATCGCAAAGAACAAAGAGTTGTTGGACGGGTTCAGTATGATTGTTTTTATATGGTCAATACAAATGTACGTCAAGGTGAAAATGAAGTAATTCCATATTGTATTAGACCACTTGAAGTTATACCTCACACTGTACCTAATGTGTCATTAACGGAAGAATCATCAATTCGAAGCATTCGCACATTTGCACAACTACGGCAACAAAATGTGACAGTGAAGGATTTATTTCATGACGGTGCTTCAGTTGATATATGTGAACAATATGAAATGTACTTGTCTTCATTTGACGTTAACTCAACATTGAACAAAACAAAACTTTGTTATTGTCTTGAAGGGTGGTTTGGGTCAAACTGTGAGTACAAATTTAATTCGGACGAAAAATTTGAAACAATTGTTAAAGAAAGATTTGAAGCGAAAACTGAATCAGATCCTCGAAAAGTAGTCAAAGTTACTGAGGGAACATGTTATACGGGATTGACGTGTGATCGTCAAACATGCCTTGATTGGAGAGAAGTGTGTGATGGTAAAATTGATTGTCCAAATGCCGTTGATGAAGAACACTGTTGGCAAATGGAAATAAATGAGTGCAACGATGATGAGTACCGATGCACAAATGGACAGTGTATTCCACTTTTTTTTTTCTATGACAAAAATATCGATTGTCAAGATGCAACTGATGAGGTAAATCATATTTTTAAAAGACATGAGTGTTTTATGGATCCCTCCTCTGAATGTGAAGACGCAACTTGCCCTTGGGGACAGTTTTCGTGTGGAGATGGTTTTTGTCGAGAAATAAGTCTCGCACTGCGTAAAGATATATACGCAGATGATAGAAAATCATTTTGTGCAAATGGAAGAGATATTTTATTTACTCGAAATATGTTTGAAAGCGACGAAGGCACAGATCAGATCAATGATCTATCCGATGATTGTCGGATTAGCGTTATATGCGCGTTAAAGCTGTATGCTTATTTCGATACTGACTTGCACGAAGAATGTGAAACAGTTAGATACTACATTGACAAGTTGTTCCAAGAAAAATGTCCATTAAGATTTTTCTTTCCATCCGTCCCTGTATTGTTCAATCATGTACGCTTTGTTTATACGACCAACAAAACAGATTGGTTAGTGAATGTAGCACCTGATTATATTTGTTTTAACGAACAACTGTGCCAGTCCTTCGATTCGACAACGATGATCAATGGTACAACTTGTGCTGAATTTCGCGATTTTTCACCTCCTCTCTATGTCAGATATAAATACTGGTATAATTTAATCAATGATATTCAAAATATGTTCAAGGCTTGCTCTCTTCCGAAGCTAAATACGACAACATCAATTACGTCCAGTGTCTGTGCACATCCAAGTCTCTTTCATTGTAATAATACAACAAAATGTATTTCAAAACATCGATTATTAGATAATTCTATTGATTGTTACCAGTCATCAGATGAGCAGCAACAGATTGACACATGTACATATAAATTATCAAATCGATTTCAATGTACAACGTCCACAACACAATGCATCCCTCGACGAATGCTTCGCGATGGTGGCTACGATTGTCAAGATGCATCAGATGAGCACTTTCCAATTAGATGTAACCCAAATTTCTTTGTTTCACCAAGATGCGACAACGTTCGTGGAACCACCAAGTTGAACGATACTTTATATTTTTCACAGATATGTAACGGAATCGTGGAAACGACAAATAGCGATGATGATACTGACGAATCAAATTGTGAACAATGGCCGTGTCGTACAAGATATACAATGTGTGATAATGTTTGGAATTGTAAAAATGGCAGTGATGAATTATACTGTGAAGATAGCTATTCTACTTTAGTTTGCGACGAATTTAAATCACATTATTGTTTGATCATTGATAAACTTGAAGATGGAGTACAATGTTTAGAACCACAATATATTAATGAGGGGGCAATGAATTGCATAGGATCTACTGATGAAAGACAATTTTGTCGTAATGCATATCCTGACAATCCGTATCAAAGATATCGTTGTTTAAACAGTAGTTTATGTATTAGTCCAATGCAATTGTGTGATTGTGTGGAAGATTGTCCCTTTGGCGATGACGAGCGTCTCGTATGTCCATGGTTAGCAAACGACTCTTGTAAAAAAGGTCAATTTTTATGTAATAATAGTGGTTCTATTCCCTATAATTATCGTTGTGATAATGATTACGATTGTGAAGAGCGTGAGGATGAATTATTTTGTGATTTGATTGATGCCTCTGAAATAAAATTATTTACGCCGGACAACTTTGTTCATTTTCCACTTATTACTTCTATTGTTGCAAAAGAAAAGTTGACAATCCAAAAGCAATATACACCAACAGAAATTGAATTAGATTATCATACCCTTTGGTACTGCAATCGTGGAATATTTGTTCAGTCATTTTATGATAATAATACAGGTTACTGTCTTTGTCCTCCTGCTTATTATGGCGATCGATGTGAATATCAAAGTGAGCATATAACAATAAAAGTCACTGTATCTACAATAACTTTATTGGAGAAAGACTATATTGTTTTGCTGCTTTTCCTTCTAATCGATTCTACTAGTGATATTATTGTTTCATACGAATATATTTACCATGTCGGAGATACGTGCGATCCAAAATATATCGTTTACTTATTATATCCAAATCCTAAACCTATACATAGTAACTATTTTATCAAACTAGAAGCGTACACGCAAACAATGATTGGCAATAATAATCATATACAATATAAAGGATCATGGTATTTCGACATACCGTTCCAATTTTTGCCAGTTAATCGACTTGTTACCGCCATAGAACTGCTATATGACATCATAGTATCATGTGATTCAAATAATATAACATGCATAAACGGTCACTGTCTTTTGTATGTCAATACCGGTACACCATTTTGTCATTGTGATGAAGGATGGTTTGGGAAGTCTTGCAATATTAAAGAATCATGTGAATGCAGACGAGGGTCTGTCTGTATTGGTCGAAGTGGTAATAATGATTTCAAACCAATATGCTTATGTTCATTCGGCAACGCGGGACAATCATGTAAGCTTACTTACGATGGCTGTGGTGGGGATGAGTGTCTGCATGGAGCCACCTGTGTCTCAGTTGACAGTCGGATGAACTCATCGGTGTGCATCTGTCCAGAAGAATTTACTGGAACAAGCTGTGAACATGAGAAAGCGAAAATACATATTGATTTCGGTATTCCAGTTCCATCTATGGTACTTCTTCGTTTATTCGACACGACTTATGAACATCAAGTTTATTCTACATTATTCAAAAGAATTCCACTATACCAAAATAATATACTCATTCACTTATCAACAAGTTACATACCTCCAGTTAATTTCTTGCAAATATTCAATGAGGACAATCCATACGAACCTTATTATCTGATTACATTATTTGACGACAAGATGTTTACCAGTCAACTATCTACAACTGTAGTTCCATCAAATCGCTGCCCACATTTCTCCGAGCTTTTTAACCGTACAGTTTCATCTGACACCTATTTGAGGCGTGTAAAATATTACCAGTTACCGTGTGAACAAAAACATGTTCGTTGTTTTTATGATGAAAATTCAATGTGTTTGTGTAATAAAGATAATTATGTCGAATGTTTTCCATATAAACATGAATTAGTACAATGTAAAGGCATCAGTTATTGTCAAAATGGTACAAGTTGTTCGACAACCACATAGCAACACAGCTTCATGTCTAATATAAGAAGGTTCGTAATAGAAAATAAATAAGATAAATATATAATATGTGAATAGTCGATTGGTACATGCATTCAGGAAATTGACTGGTGTCCAACTGTCGCTACTTGCATTTGTCGAGCATGTTTTTACGGCGGTCTCTGTCAGTTTTCTATGTCAGGTTACGCTCTTTCACTAGACGGTATAATTGGTTTAAGCATTCAGAAAAATGTTAAAATAAAAAATCAAGCAAATGTTGTTAAAATTAGTGTTACTGTTGTCTCATTGATGTTTGCTATTAGTTTAATTACCAATACTCTATCAATCATTACGTTCTCTCAACCAAAAACCCGTGATGTTGGTTGTGGTACTTATCTGCTTTTCTCATCTATCATTTCACTGCTAACCATAACCATTTTCAGTGCAAAATTCATTTATTTACTAATGACACAAATTATGATGAATCCAAATCGTCCGGCTATGAATGTTAGCTGTATTTTACTTGAATTTCTACTTAAATTTCTATCAACTACAGGCGAATGGCTAAATGCTGTCGTTGCTATTGAACGAGCTCTAACAGTTGCACTAGGTGCTACATTTAATACATATAAGAAAACAAGTGCTAGTATTGCAAAATATGTCTTCATTCTCGTACTACTCATTAACATTATAACTTCAATTCATGATCCTATTTATCGTCGTTTAATTGATGATCGTATTGAAGAACGTACATGGTGTGCAATTACTTATCAGAATCGTCCATGGCTTAAATATTATACATCTACATTGAATAGTATTCATTTCATCATCCCATTTGCTATCAACGTTGTTTCAGCAATCTTAATTATTATAAAATCAGGACGTGCAAAGTCCAACGCACAAACGGATCAACCTTATAGACAAATTTTGAAAAAACAATTAATTAAACAAAAACATTTAATTATTAGTCCATTGATTTTAGTTATTTTAGCATCACCACGGTTGATCATTTCATTCGTTTACGTTTGTATGAAATCAACACGTGAACCATATTTATTTTTATTTGGTTATTTCATATCGTATTTACCATTTGTAACGCCATTTCTCATTTTTGTTTTGCCATCAGAAACTTATAAGAAAGAATGTTTAACTGGTATTAAGAAGTTAAGCCGAAGACATTGAATTATTCATGTGACGTTAGGTAAGTTTAGTTAACTTATTCGTCAGAAAACGCTGTTCACAATTGTAATTTTTCTACTCAAATTTTAGGGAATGAAGCGAGCTGAGCAGGATTTGGCTTTATTCGTGTAACATAATTAATAGTAACAGACAGTGGCGGATTTAGGGTGCTGGCGGCCGCCAGCATCGAAATTTCTGATTTCATACTATTATACTCTCCTTCTTGTACAACATAGTAATAAAGGAAACGAAGTAAAAATCGTGTCATCTAGAAACTCCTAAGCAAAATTGCTACTTGCTCTTTTGTCCAAATCCGCCAGCACCGAAAATTTTTTCTGGATCCGACTGGTAACAGATATTGACGATTCCTAACCAATTGTTTGAACGAACAACAAACGCCTGCATTACGCAGTTACGTTTTTCGTCCCAAAAGACAATTTCAGTGCGTCCTTTGTGCTGTTCGTAACTCGTTTTTCAGAAACCAATCTTTAGGGCTCCGTAGTAGTGGTGGAGCCAGGATTTCGTGCTAGGCTGGGCTCAGCCCAGGAAAAAGAAATTTTATTTTTCACAGACAAATGAAATGAGAAACCATCGTTGAAAGCCCTATTTCAGCAAAAATTAAAAAACTATCTAGGCTGGGCTTAGCCCAGTCTAGCCCAGTTGGTGGCTCCGCCACTACTCCGTAGCAAGAGGAGGGATTAACTCGACTATCTATATACATATTTCAACGTATTCTTTACTTAACAATTTGTCTAACTGTTAGTCGAAATTTTTTGGATTTCCGTTAGAGGCCGATGTGTCCTGACCCGCCAAGTCATAAAATCCAACAGAAACTCGAGCTCTTTTCCCACCAAACTATAATGAATTATACACCATTAGCTAGAGAATTTCACGCTGATCCTTAATATCTATAATTTATCAAGTTTTCGTGCAGCGGAAAGCAAAAAAATCAAGGAAAACTCAAAATTTTCGGAAAATCC